GGGAAGAGCAGGAGGGACAGTAAGCTGCCGTGCCTTGGTAGGTGCTGAGCTCCCGCAGTCGTCCCTCTCAGAGCATGGGGAGAACAGCTCAGCACCTTTCTGCATCCCCACTCATGTTTCAAGGCTGCTCAGAGCAGCCAGAAAGACCCTTTCTCACCCACAAAGTCACAGATAAGAAATGCAGGGCTCTGTTTATGCACAGGTTTGCACAAGGGAATATATGAAACAGAGCTGAAGAACGTGCACACTGAGTGGGAAGGGTGTGCGCACAGGGGCATACAGCTTCATACAAACAAGAGTAAATGGAGCATGATGTATGATGATCAGTCACAGACAAATTTCTTCCTAGACTTTTAAAAAATATATCACTAGGAAGTCAGTTCTTGCCTACAACACTTCTCCTGGGAGATTCTTAAGGACAAATATGACCTCTTAATAGGATTAAGGGATTGTGTCTTGGAATAAAGAGCTGAAATCTCTGCAGAGGAAGAAGGAACTGAAGGAAGCGGAGTCTGTCTATGGGTGCTTTCATTAATGCTTGTGAAACTGGAATGGCTGCAGCAAAAAACAAAAGTGCAGAATATGCCAAGGGCAATGGAATGTATAAAAGCAGTAAGTAACTTGCTTTGAGAATATCTTGCCCAAGAACAATTAATGTGACAACTTCCTTACAACGATTAGCCTATGTGACACAGTACTTACAAAAGCAACCGGATCGTTGCTCCTTGTTCCAACTATACTGAACTTCTTTACATAGGTGTTATTCTTCAGTGCTTCGGCACAGGCTTTTAAAGTTGGGATGGGAATATTCTGTGAAAAGAAACACAGAAAATGTGTGTTAGGCCCTCATCTGTCTTCAGATTTGTGGTACATGACTGGAACAAATCTTTTATATTTAAACAATATTTTAAAATTATTATCAAGATCAACCATCACAATCAAGCTGCAACCATTACCAAACACACTCAGGTAACTCATGAAGGATATGATAAATATTGTTACAAGTTCTCTAGCTAAAGTCATCATGGCCTAAGGACTGTGGGAATGTCTTCACCCTATTTCCCACTCGGCTGATAGCTCACTGCCTTGACTGGAAGTCTCTGCTGTTCAGTTTCATGGTCCAGAAATTCAGCTACTCACCAACCAAAGTGTTGTGGGGATGTATGTAACTAGGATCCATGAGTCTTTAAAGCATTGCTACTGTGCTTTTTAATACTAATGATAACACCGAGCAACATTCGTGTCATGTTCCGGAATATTTCCATCTATGGGCCTTAATTCAGCACAACCTGAAATGATCTCCTTTTAGTATAAGCCATGGTCGCTTCTGACTGCTCTGTTCAATACTGCTTTATACAATTCTTTTCAGACTAACATTTGCCATGCTATCTCAGCCCAGAAGATACATCCACGCTGCTTATTTTGAGTTCCTTACAAAATGAGTATTCTTCACTCATCGGAGATTGTAGATACCCTTTTCAGATGCAGACAATTTTCAGCTGTCTAGAATTATAAGATGCATCCCCAGCTTGGAATTCTTACCTTGGATCACACAGTTTGGCAACACCTATAACCAAAGCCATCTGCAGATAACGCAGAGCCAAGCAGAGCGTCATCTCTTCCACCTCCACTCGCCAGTTTTCTGAAGTGCCTCCCCAAAATCATGAGTCTAACACAGAAAGAAGCGTCTGCTTTCTGTAAGCCTGGTGTCCTTAAGGCACACTCAGGATCACTGGCCACAGTTGAAAACACGGAAGTAAAAATCTTTTCGCTATAGACAGATGAAAATGTTTGGGCACATGCATTTTTACTGTGCGCATGCAGTCAGCCATGTTCCTGCTATTTGAATACGACATCATTCAACAAACCTCGTGAGACGGGAGCTCTTAACGGACTGAAGTTAAGGAGGGTAAACAGAAACTGTATTGTTTAGCATGTGTATTTGTCCCAGAGGCAGCATAAAAGGCTGTGGTGCGCCACGATTTGCTTTATACAAGAAAGAAGTAAAGGTATCTCGGTGAAGGGACGGGTGGGACATAGACAGAGGTACAAGCCAGAAGGGAGGTTTCTTCATTTTCGCACGGCAGCATTAAGATTATGAAACCTTGTTCCTCCCGCTATTTTATCTTTCATAAACAGCCACTCCTCTAAGGGACTGAGGAAACCATTAAAAACAACCTAAAACATCTTTAATCAGACAGCCTGGAGATGGGTTTCTCTAGCTGTCCTCAACACAACTCAGCCCTGGCAGACAGCTCCTGCTCCTGACTCCATACCATTATCAGACAGCAGGTAACAACCCACCCCGCCCGAGACAGAGGTGGAAAGCACCGGGCATATGTGGCACCCAGCTACACGCAGTGTTACGCCATTACTCTGTGCAACACAACGTACTTGGTCTCTGCCATCTGTGTTTCAAACGTTTGCTCTTGCTAGTAAGAGAATAGAGTAGGAAGGAGCAAATACCCTAATATTATTAAGGTTGACTTCCTCAAGGTCAGGGTCATTGCTTTGTATTCGTTTCAGAGTCTCTTCCACATCTGTTGAGTTCGGTTCTTCATCAGGAACTGGTTTGTACTGTGTGGGCTTAATCACACCTGCAAGTGAAAAGCAAAACATGCAAAACCCAAAATACCTGAAATACCAGCATGCTCTTTATGTGTCTCTCCTCTTCCAGAAGCAGTGTTGGGAAGGAGGAGTATGACCTGACAAACGCTGCAAGCATATGAGGTGCAAGGATTGTACAAGCACTCAGCAGCTTCACTGACTCTGAAACGTTGCCATGCACCAGGGCCAACTTGCACAGCGCAGCCAGGGGTTGGTGCTAAACGCTCTCAGGGTCCCAAACTGGGTGACCACAGGCATACTGCCTGTGTGGGACTGTTTTTTGGCCTGCACTAGCTCCTGGCTGTTTAACTTCTCAGCTGAGAAGCCTTAGAGGACGCTCTAAGGCCTGTGGGGAGGTGATGGGGGATGGCTACAGCACTGTAAAATCTTCTGGGTGCATGCAACAGAACTACGGTCCATCTGAACGGTCCCCTTCCCCCCTTCCCAGGTTTCACTTGTAAGGAAAGAGTAAGAGAAAATAAACATTTTCATCTCCTCTTAAAAGTCAATTTGTTTTAGTTTTGACATGAAGAAATCATTGTGTTTGGAATGATCAACCAAGAGCCACATTTCCTGTTCAAAGTCCATTAAAACTTTAATGTTTCCTGTTAACTTTAACCTTCCCTGTTAGCCTGGGAGGAGGGAGCGTTTTGAAATGTCTCTCGGGAGAACTGCTTCTCCCCAAGCAGATCTCCTGGGAACACGCAGCCTCTCCACAGTCACAGGACAGGCATTTCCCGAGCTGAACACCAGGAGACGGCAGACTGCAGAAGAAACGGCTTCCCCAAAGGCACCGAGTCAGGACCGCACAGCTGTAGCAACTGTGCTGTAGCCAAGGAAAGGGTCTTCAGTCACACACACAAGCTTGGCATGGGGGGCAGGAGTGCAAAGAAAATAAAATCCAACTCGCAGCCTAAAAATAATTCCCACTTTTTCTCTGCTAGCAGCTTCAAAACTGGTAGCCAAATACTCCGGATGGTTAAGCGCTCTAAATCACTTACTGTTGAGCCCTTCTTTGTTCACTATTGTGCTGCTCCCTAGTGCCTCATAGTACTGCTGGTTACTCATCAAGGTGTGCATGCCAAGGATGGCTACAGTAAAAGAAAAGGAAAACAAAACTTGAGTTATTGCAGACTCCAAAGCCAGGAAAAGACGCAACTTCATACAGGTCACATCTGCATACGTGCCTGTTCTTCCAGAGTCGCTCACGATGGGTGTCAATAGCACATTACCTCTTTCTGTACAGGCAGAGAACACCATACAAGGTGGGAACAAATCCCCCAGCCCTCATTAAAATACAACAGGGCTCAAATGTGCTCCTTTTTATGCAAGGATAGTTTGATTTACAGAAGAGGAACACTGTCTTGTGGGCAGCAGACAAACAGTTGAGGTTTCCCGACAGCAGCCTTGGTCTAGCATCACATAAAAGTAAATTTAAAAATCCCACCAGTAGGATTTAATCTAAGGTGCAGTACAGCAGGAGTCTGCACACCCTCAGCACCCTTGCCCACACTTCGCCACAGCCCTGTTTTTGAGATTAGCTGTGCCACATGCAGAACCAAGAGACTCTCAGTCTCTCTGAGACTAACTCTCAGATAGCAAGCTACTGGGTGACACAGTCTCTGAACTTTGGCAGTGCCTATTCTGTTTCTGCTCAACAAAAAGCTGGGGTGAATTTGAGCTCTGTGCTTTTTAACACTTGGAAGTTGACATTTTAAGAAGCTAGGGCCACACTGGTTTGTTGAAATACAGAAAGTGATAGCACAAACACAATTCGAGGACTGCTAAAGCACAAAAGCCGCATATCTGACAATTTGTGCATCGCAAGCTCATGACTACAAAACCAAAATACCAGTGCGCATAGCAACAGGCCCATGGGGTCTGCTGACATCCTTGCTAGCTGCTAATAAAGAGTGGGAAGCCAATGGCTAGAAACATTTGGGCAAAGATTCTGCTTATAAGAATAACTCTGCTCCTCACAGAAAGCTTGTGTTTAGAAATAAAATGGGGTTTCAATTTTTTTTTTTTAATAGGCATACGACTTTCTACAGAAAGTTGCATATATGTAGATATTTGCTATGAACAGACATACAAGAATACGTCTTGACCTCAGGACGGGCACTGTGGTTAGAACAAATAAAGGGCAAATCTCTGCCTAAAATTCAAGTATGCAACCACCAATCCGCTTTCCTTTTCCACAACCTGTTCTTGTTATGCTTGGTTGGCACCTAACAGTCACTATTTGCTCAGTGCCAAGCAGCACAGGGAATCGCAGGAGCAGCAATACTCTCCTTGGGGCCCTTCATCTTGCAATTTGACACTTACATGAATGACATCTCATATGGTCACAGCTCATCATGACTCCCAGGTCTTGGCTGCATGAGCCAGCGTACTCGCAGCAAAGAGCGTCAGTGAACACCACCACTCACTTTCCCCACAACATGTCCCCAGGTGGATTTCACAGAGCCAAGCAGCCTCCATCTGAAAATTTGAGTGAGGATGGGAACTCTGAGTGCATTTGTCTGTTTGTTTTTTAACTGGCCTTTTTATCTGCTATGTGATCACAGCCCAAATTTTCAGAATTGCAATACTGCTAGGGAAAATAATTTGCGAACTCAGAATTCTGGAGACACACAAACACAGGCACACACACACACACACACACACACACACACACACACACACACACACACACACACACACACTCCCCAAACGCAGCTTGCTCTGATAACGAAATTGCTCCATCAGCCACACCTGGGGATATCTGGACTGCAAACAGAGAGAGGGAAGGATTTGCTACGATCATGGGTTTTTTTATGGCCAGAGTTTGTCCGGTAGACGAGAGGGATCTGCTGTTTGGAAGTCTAGTGCTTATCATCCAAGGACTCTCAAAGCTGAACTCAGAGCACCCCAGTTCGGCCTCCTCCAGTTGACCAAAGGCACTGGAAGAACCAAGAGCCCTTCTAGGACTTGCAGAGAGCCACCACACACAAGGGCAAAACCGCCAGGTTTGCCGAAGAAGGGATCCAATAAGTCAAGGCAGACAATTAATCAATGAGACTTGGAAAAGCAACGCTGGCACTGTCACTACGGAGATTTCAGCACAGCTTGTATCACATCAGTTCTCTTGCTGACATTTCAAGGGTATTCTCCCCAACATTACAGGATAAACTGCCCTGAATAGCATTTCTCTATGAAAATAATCGCTTTGCAGGTCTGGAGCTTAGGAAGCCCTATTTTGTAGAGTAGGATTTATAGGACGCTACAAGCACAGTAAAAAGAACCAGGAAATACAAGGTTTGGCCAGAGCATGTTGGAAGCCTTAATGCAGTAATTCACTGTTACGCCAGAATGTGATACTATCAAGCAGAAGGAGTCAGGTTAATGTGGTTACCCTACAGGCTTCCTATCTACCATCTTCTAGCAAGAAGGATATTGTCAGGGAGTATGGACACCTGACAGACACAGAATTGGATAAAAGAGTAGCACAGAGTTATTAGTCAACTGGCAGACCAGCACGGGACACATGCGAGCGTGGTAAAGGAACAATGAGATGTTCATACTCCTCTGGCCAAGGCATCCTGTTTCAGCCACAGAGCTAAGGCCATGCCGCTAGCTCCAGTAACACAGTAGTATTTTCATTTGTAATGTGATGGAACAAGGAGGCCTACACGGAGTCGTCCCCAATCAGGAAAAGCTTCCTGAAAAGCAACAATGGGACACTGCTTTAATTTAACCAGAACTGAAGCTTAAAACCCTCACAGTAGGGACCCTGCCTGTCCTTCTCTGTTTGTACAGCACCAAGCACAACAGAGTTCTGGGCTTGGTTAGTCTGGTGAACAGAGTACACAGATCCTGGCTACAGAGGATCTAATAGCTGCCTACAAAGCCAACGGAGCCAAACTCTTGGTGACACCGGGGGTATAACAAGGGGAAACAGCCGCAGATTGCAGCCCTGCAGGTTCCGGTTGGATACTCCTTTCTCCGGAGGGTGGTGCAGCCCCGGGGCAGAGCACCAGGCAGGTGGTGGTGGGGGGTCTCCATCCTCAGGGAATTTCCAGATGCTGCTGTACACAGCCAGGGCTGCCTTGACCTAGTGCTGGGGAAAGCCCTGCAGTGAGTGGAGGGTTGGACTGGGGACCTTCACAGGGCCCTGCCACCAGCACTGCTGGGGTCCCGGGGTCCTCTGCCTAACTGGGTATTCTGAGGAAATGTGAGTGTTCTGTCATTAATAATGAGACGTGTCACTGTTGTCACCCTGCACCAGGAAGGAATTGCCAGCTCCAGGTCTGCGCGAAAAGACTGAATAGAAGCTGTTTCTTCTGGTCACAGTGCTAGGATTAAGTGACTTTATCCCTAGGCTTGACAAAGCTGTCCCAGCGGTTTGGCTGAGCAAAACCCACTTCTGCTGTTAATCTTTCACCCCGTTCTCAGCCCAGGCAGCCACATGAGCATGTTACAGCAGTCTCCAAGATGCAGGGCCCCTAGCTACCTCAGCTGGCATTTGCTTCCTGCACTCAGAACAGAGGCCTAGCAATGTCTGGGCCGTAACTGAAGGGCTGTGCACCTCAGCACAGCATACAGCAGCCCCTAGCATCCGCAGGATACAGAGCATGAGCTCTGCAACAAGGGAAAGACTAAGACAACATCTTTATACCAGCGTACTTGGGTACTGGTTGCAGGTATTTCACAGGCAAATCAGCTTGCAGGCAAGTGCACACAGCTGCTAATGAGCAGTTTACCTCCCTTGGCAGGTGGTAGATATTCCACCCAGGTCTGCACAGCAGTTTACCTTCTTCAGGGAGAAGCTATCAATTTAAAGGCCATTAGATGTCCCAGATGGATCTCCCATGCAATATAGGGAATTCCTGCAACCTATCTGAAAAAGGCATCTCCTCTCACCATGAAAAAGGAAATGCTGCAGACTCTTATCCTCTTTGCCAGTAATTTGTTCCAGACGCCAAACCATAAGATTGTGCAACTGCACTGGCATTTGCATTTGTCATAGTGAAATTTAAGTAAGTAAGTAAGTCACTGATTCTTCTTGCGTCCTGCTGTGCTAGTTGTAAGAGCATTCTCATGTGCACGGAACATTTGCAGTAGTCCATTCCCTGCCGCTCTGCTCATTATTCATTCCAACTTGCTTCTTAGCCACCACGAAGTATATGAACCTTTTCATGCCGGGTTCCTTCTCCTCTGTAGCTAATACTCACAAAACTGACTGACCACACAAATTGCAGGAAATCAGTATCTTCAAAATGTGTTGGAAAAGCTCTTTGACAACCAGAAGCCCTCAGTATCTTTTGAAAGACTGCTGTAATCTGGCAGCCCCTTTAAAGGCTTGCACAAGCATTGCATCTGTTTGATCATTTCCTAAAGTTTTGGCTTAAAGATAACTGTGCTTCTGAAGGTGACAGGCTGCAATTTGCAAGATTCAATGGAAGACATGAGAGAAGACATCAAACAAGGCGTTCCATTTCCTTGGTAAATCCTTTATCTTCTTATTCACCTTTGGTTCATGCTCCTGATTAAAGTGGATGGGGTTGCTGGGCTGAAAGAAACTTTAAATATACATTCCCTTTCTAATCAACAAATAAATCCCATCAAAACTGACAGCGTTCAGATAAACAGGAAAAAGCTCAGTCACCCATTTCCCACAAAAGAAGCTCAAAGAAGGAAAAAACAGTAGTTAAGTAACCCAAACCCTGATTCATGCGAAACTGTGTTACCAGCAATGTCACAGAGCTCTGCATCAGAGGCATTGGCAAGGGCTTCCTCCAGTTCCGGCTCCAGCGTCACACTTTCCAAAACAGGATCCATTGGCTTCTGCTTGGGGATCCAAGCTTTTCCTATAAACACAAAGTTAGGCCACTCTCAATGTAGTTATAGCACCTGTTCCACAACTGCAGAGTAAGACTTTACTAGCTGTGCCGGTGCAACTTCCATCAGGTGAAATTCACACAGTGGACAAGACACAGAGGGGCATAAGAACGTAGGAAAAATCAGGAAAGGTACTGAACTGCTGCATTTTAGCTCAGTCTGGGTTCTACTGTGGTGTACGTCAGGAGGGACCAGCCAGACACCTCCAGCTGTAGAGATGGATTCATTTACCAGAATGGATGGCTTTATCTACAAAAGCCTAACAGCACATTTGCACAGTACAATGGCTTTTGAATATACAGGAGTAAAACAGTTAGACTCAGCCTGACCTGGTAGGACTTCTCTTATTTGAAGGCTGCACCACAGAAGTGTAAGAGGGATGCACTCTTGCCAACACTTGGATGAACTGCGAAAGCCAAGTGGCCTGGATAGGGCAGTGCTCTGGACGACCCTTGTCCCTAAGACAAGTCCTGCTGCTAAATCCAAATGCAAAGAGGCACAGCAGATGGCCCTTTTCTGAAATGACAGTGGGAAGGAAGGGGTGGAGAACTGGTGGGGAGCAGGGACAGCTGACAGCTGCCACGTGGGCAGCAGAGATGCAAGGAGGAGCAGGCCTGGGGCAGCTGGTCTGGCTCAACGTTGCTGCAGAGGACTCCAGGGCAGAGAGGCGGGAAGCAGAGGGCATGCCTGATAGGGACCCTGATGCTCTGTCACCTGGGACAGTGGGGTTGCCAACAGGCCAAGGAACATCCTTTTTCCTTGCAAGTCAAAGGTGCAAAGCAAAGGGCACAGTTGCGATTTGATAACATGAAGCCACTGACTGCTCTCTCAGCTGACAGAAAACTAACTCACTTGTGGCATTTTCTCAATAGGCACTGCCCAACCTCCACGCTTAGCACTGAACAAGGGGTTATGTAGTGAGTGACATAGCTCCTATCCACCTCTGAATGCTGCAGGATGAGCTCTGCAGTGCTCCTCCATCCCAACAGAGCAGGGATGCACTGGGCAGAGAGCAGGCAAGCCATGCCCCTCTCTCCGCCAGCTCTGCCTGAGTCTCAGGATGCAAGTGGCAGGGGGTGAGGTTAACTGCAGTGCATCACTGCTCCCAGCTCCTCACTACTCCTCGCATCAGTGTCTCCTTGCCTGTCCTTCCTTGGGGGAATCTGATAGTCCTCTCTGCTCTCCTGCATGGGGGTCCGGTTTGGCTACTCTAGGCTGAGGGCAATGGCAGACGTGTCACCCACCAAACCATGCTTTTGGCCGCACCACCACTCTGGGCCCTGACCAGCCAAGTTCTGCAGCTCCGGCTGGTGGGACAAGGAGATTCTGCTGCCCCGGGAAGCAGAGCAACCCTTTTCAAAGGGACTCCTCCTGTTGTCCAGCTGGCCTTGGGGGAAGCTGACATCCCGCAGCATGCACTGGGCAAAGTCTCCTCCATTACTGCTGGTCCAGGAGAAGGCTTGCCCTTCTAAGAAGATATCACCCCTGGCAGCTGCCTCCAGTATCGCATATCAGCCTCTAACCTCACATGCCCATCTTGATCCCTACCCTCTCCTTACATCTGACAGGCTGGTGCATCTCTTTGCCAGAAGCAGAGTGGGCCAGGACTTCACGACAGCGCACAAAGCTGCGATCACCCCCACCACCAAAGAAAAAAAACAGATTCACTGTGTTTTAGAGCAGCATGGCAGGGAGTGGGTTGTTGGTGCTGCTGTGGGTTGGAAGGAAGGAGGAGAAATACCAGAGCAGTTCAGAGTGGTCCCCTCCCCTGAAACAGTCCAGGATCACTGCAGAGAGATAGCGAGTGCAGAGCTCTCAGCCTGGAATGCCAGCCAAGACTATTTTTGTCCACCCTCTGAAACCAGAGTCAGCAACACTGAAGGGGAGAAACAAAGATCCCACTGCTCAGGGATGTACAGAAACAGAAGCAACTAAATTTAGACTGAAGGGAAAAGCAACTGTGCTTTGGGCCCTCTCAGTACGAAGCAGAGGCTGCTACGAACAGCATTCTGTGGAACTGCTCATCTCCATTCTGTGTGCTGTTGCCTTGACAAAGGGGGCAGGAATTTGCCTTCTGTGAAACAGCTGTTATAGCAAAAATAGGCAAAGCGTCATGTGTGCCTGTACGGTCATACACCTTCTGGGTATTTTGCAGTGAAACATTTGGGAAGGACTGGCACCATCAGCTCTGACTTGGTGTAGATACTTGGAATTGTTTTCTTCCCAGTTGCTCACTGGACACTTTGCTTAACAAATTCAGTTCTGCAGGAAGTAAAAGGAACAGGACAAACTAATTCCACCATTACACAATAGCTCCTTTTGACATCTCATTGTCATCAAAATGTCTGGGTTTTAATCTTAAGCAATTTCATATTTCAATTGCGCCTTATTACAAGTTTGCTTTTCTAAATCTGATGGTGTACGCAAATACAGCTGTATATCATAATATAGCATGTATGCACACATCAACTCCTATTCTGTCCACCAACATGAGAGTGGAAAATATCTCCCATAATATGTTTAAATTGGTAAACTACCCTCAGAAGAGCAAATCTGGGGATTTATTGCCAGCTCTGCAACAGACGTGAGCAAGTAATTTAACATCCCTGGCTTGCGTTCAGTGTAAGTAGTGTCCTCACTTCATACAGCGTTACAACTAAAACTATGTATAATGTGTTTCAGATGATCAGATGGAAATATAAGTAACTCATAACAGAAGTTGAAGATTTGAAATTCCTGAAATATCTCCCTCTCCTGCAGAGCACTGTAACCTTCTGCTGTATTAGAGAGGCTGACAAATAAAGCTGGGTTGAGATATGCTGAAAGTTGCTAAATTACTCTTCCCTACAGCACTCACTTTAATCTTTTCATTTAGTTTTTCTAAGGAGAACTCATTTTTCTAAAAATATCACCTCAAGATTTACCGAATCAGACAGATTGAAACAACAGCTCTCTCTCACAGATGCAAATGGATCATTAAGAAGAAGAGGTAGGCAGCTCTGAGAAAGACGGCACTGCGAAACTTATAATTCTCACACGCCCATATTTTTGGTACGCCTCTTTTTTTTGGGGCCTAGGACAACCAGGAGAGAGAGGAGCGTACAAGGAAAATTTCCGCTGGAGGGGGATCATGGTACAGAGGGGCACATAAAAGCAGAAGAAGAAAGCTGGTGAGCATCCCCTGGCACTTGGAGACAAGGCCTATCCGGACCATGTGTCAAACCAGACGGTATTCAGCATGCTGATGGGAGCAGGGAAGCGCTTTGAATAACAGGACATGTCGCAGAAGGATGGGCTGGAAGATGCCAGGACAAGAGGACCGAGGAGAGGCAGAGCAGTCCCTGGCTTACAAGCACCAGTGACAAGGAAAGCGGGGCTGCCTCAGCAGTGGCAGAGTATGATGCAGGCAGGCAGAAGCATACAGCTGCAAACGACTAGAAGGTGAGGGTTGTCTTGCCAGGGTTAAGGTTAGGCAGGATCTGCTGGAAACATCATCGCTGACGTACAACAGAGTGGAGGGCTGTGGAGTTTCTCTGTACCAGGATGAAGGCCAGGGTGCAGGAACAGAGCATGAAAGGCAATAGGGGAAGGCAGGGAACAGCCTAGCGAGCCCGAAGGAGAGCAGAGCAGAGCAAGAATAAGAGAGAACAGAAGATGTTTTCCCCAGAGCTGGATGTAGCTGCAATGAGATGGGGAAGGAAAGGTGCACAGTGGTACAGCCTCTCCCCATCACCTACCAAACCGTTGTGTGGTACCCAAATCAGCACAAACACCCACCTCCCGGCACACCCGAATCTATCCGCCAGCCTGGGCTTGGGTTATGCACCAGATACAGCAGATTCATCACACCTCCGGTGTTGAAAGGGAGTGGCGCGTAACAACCTGTACTCAGATACCACCCATCTGCCGTGCACCCGCACTGACTGCGTGCAGAGCAGTCTCCTGCTGCACTCCGCCTTCATCATGACACCTTCAGCACGGTGCAAAGGACGATCATACCTCTCTTTTCTCCTGTGAAAGGAACCAGGTCTTCTCTGTCTTTAACATCTTTTGCCTGCTTTTCTAGGTGGGCCATGAGTTCCTCCCTTTTGAATGGGCCAGTTGGTGGCTTTTGGGTCTGGTCCCTCTGTCGGAGGCCTGCCGGCAGCAGCGCATTCTAGACACAGAGGGGAGAAACACAGATTACTTTTGCAGACCACGATCCCCATCTGTTCCACTCTCTCCCTTCTGCGCTTTTCCTCATCAAACTGTTTTCTTCCAGCTTGCTGGATATTTTCCTTCTCATTGCATCAAAGGTTATCCCAGTCCAGCCCCCTTGACTCCCATATAGTCTAGACCTACTATGCTCCTCATTCCAGCATGAAATTTCATATGCACAGCACTATTATAACACCTCCTTGCTGCAAAGAGGATGCACCTCTACAACAGGAGCTCCAGCCCATTCTTCAGGGGCTCTCAGCCATCACCTCTCTTCCCGGCCTCTTCCCCCGCTCCTGCCATTCCCACTGCCGCTTTGCAGTTGTTTCAGTGCCAGAACCAAGTTGTTAAACTTGACAGAGCTTCTCCTCCCTATGTGTCTGTCCAAGTGCCAAGGTGCCTCACCAGAGGCGGCAGGATATGCACTTTGGGCCTAACAAGAACCAGTTCAGAGGAGTCCCGTGGTCTCTGGCACAGCCGATCAGAACGTCACAGGGCTCTTTTCTGCTTTTTACGGCCCATCACAAAACTACAGATCGGATCTCATAGTGCAAGCCACTTCAGACTGACTGACCGCAATTCCACTGCGGAATAAAACCCCTCCGAACCTCAGCTCTTTTTCTAAGTGTCTCCCTGTTATTCAGCCACACCAGCCACCATGGGAAGTTGCTTTGTGCCTGACACATATGGCATGTAATCACCTCCTTATATTTAAATATAGAACAGCCTTAATGCAATAAGTAAGACTACTCTCAGATTTGACACTAAGCATGTTCTTTACAGCTTTGTTGGGTAGGAGTCAATATTTATTTTTTAAGATATCCAAGATGAGACTGGATGAGGTGATGATTTTTCTTTCTTTGCCTGCCTAACAAAAGGAATTCATAATAATTTACCTCTCTTTTAGAGGAAAGCCTGGAAAAACAATGTAAAGCAATTAGACTTAGCCAGCCTTAGAGGACAGCACAGGAGAACTCTGCTAATGCTCAATGCACCAGCAGGTAGGCATAAGAAACAATTTGCATCCTCAGGCTTTGTACTGTGAGAAGTCACCATGCAATCTCCATATTTTAAGTCCAGTACTCAGGTTATACCTGTACTGACAGATAATAGCAATTATTTTACTTTTTAGTATCTTTCACGGAACGCTGTCTGGTTCTGGATCTTTAGAGGCAGCAGTAATCAGTCTATCAGCATACACACTCAGTCCTGGGAGACTGCTTGCCACTTCTTAATTATTTTTCTGTGTTGATATTTGGGATTAAAAATGCTGACGATGCAATCCACACTGCCCATTGCTTTCCCCAGAGACACTGACTGCATGTTGTAGGAACAATTTCTCACTTGGCAGGGTCCAGCCTCATCATCTAATGTTGCCATAACCCAATGGCCTGCCAGTTGGCTCTGTATATCCCCTGCTATGGGCACAGGATAATGCTGCCTTCAAAACGTTATCATGGCTTGGCACCTGTATACCCAGTGCTTTCATACACGCAGCTCCTGCTGATGTTGGGAGATTGGCCAGAAAGCAACCGTCCCATTTTGCAAGACTCTGGGATTTGCTTTTCCTCCTAAAGGAAGGAAAATTGAGGTCACTTGAAGTTTCCTAATGAAAAAAAAATTAAAAAAAGAAAACACAAAGCCAAAGACACTCCTTCCAAAATGGCCTGATCAGGAGCAGAGATCTAGGTTCCGCATGTTCCTAGGAAGTGCCCAGTTGTCAGGACAGCTCTTCCCAAAACACAATTGTGCCAGGGTGGTGTAAGAACCCCAACTACAGGCCAAGTCCCTGTTGCAAAAGGTGCTGTGCGACAACAGAACGACAGGTAAGTTTTTGCTCCAAAAGCCTGTCAGTTTAAGTACTGAACCAGAAACAAAACATGGAAACAGAAAGGTAAGATTTAAAACATTCATGAAAGATCAAGACACAACAGGTCCTTTACGGTGGAATAGTGTGACACATCAGGATAATCTGTTACAACCTCCCTTGACCCTTAGACAAGAGATCTCAGAACACCTTGCTGGGAGAGAAAAAGCACACACACTCACTGAAGGTGTCACATACTCTCCAACCTACCCCCAGGGGACAGTCACTTTAGGAGTCCCATTCCAGCAACCAGACCAGACCAGACCCAACTGCTCTCTGCAAAACCTCCCCACAGCCCTGCAAATCAGCAGAGAGGCAGACTTTCATGTGCTTGGTGTCAGCCTCCTCACTTTCATCGGTTAGAAACAGCCCATGAAAGCCAGGGACCAAACAATGCAAACAACTAACCCAGGAATGCTCATGAGGGCATGCATGGTGGGACAAGGGCATAGGAGTATCACAAAAGCAAAGTCTCATCCCACAGCCTGTGCTCTCGATGGCAAAACTGCTTCTGCTCATCTGGGGCCAGTTTCCTCCAGTCTTGCACCGAGCATGGGCTCTGCAATGGATCCCACTTAAACACAGGCCGCTGACGCAGCCCGCTTGCCCACCTTCTTCCACAATAACTTGAGATTTACCACCCGGAAAATCTTTTTTAAAAATGACTTACATCAGGATCCAGCTCTTCCAGTTCATTTTCCAACTTCCTGAGCTCCTCCTCTGTCAGAGCTCCAAGGATCTTGTCTTCATCCAGGTCTCGATATTTTTCTAGCTCCTTTCTGTAAGACATCTTAGAAGAGTCCTGTGAATCTTACTTTTACGCTGAAACAGAATCTGAAATGAAAAACAAGAATATACACAATTTATCACAACAAATACATGACACACTGAGATTGTAGCACTGCTGTCAGTAGAATGCTGAATATCACAGAGTGCAGAAGATTTATGCTTGAAGCAGGGCTAACTTCAGAGCTAGGTCCGATTGCTCAGGGCACTGCCCCTATCCCACACCTAGGTAACAACCCATGCTAACGTCAGCAGCGGGACGTCAATTGCCCCATCACAGACTTACAGGGCAGCAGGGAGGAAGTACTTTGTATAGGAGCCTCATTAGCGACTTAGTTCCCCAAGTAATGTTAGATGTTAATGAAAAGACCTACACATTAATTTCCTTGAGGGACGATAAGCCACAAATCAGAACGGCTGCAACTCTCGCACCCTTACGACTCGCCAGTAACACCCTCCTGCACATAGTGCTCTGGATAACATGACCAGGTGGAAAAGCCAGACCACTGCATCACTGAATACATTTGAGCCTTGCAAATCTCCATGAGGCCACAGATCTCAGTGTATAGTACTTCTCCCTGTCAGATCGGCGTCTTAGAGCCACAAGGAGATCAGGAAGTATTATTTACTCATGTTCAAGATGCAGCCAGTTCAATATGCTGTTTAGCTACCCACCTTCACTGAAACAACACGCTGCAACTGCATGTTGCATGTTTGCACTGCTGCAAGCTAAGGCCATGACCTAAGTGTTAGTCCCTATCTGAACCAATCCCTCAAGAAGAGAAATGGGGGAAACACACTAAATGATCTATCTGGATAATCGCTGCTGACCCAGGTTTTGTGCCAAGTCTCATAATACAAAATGGCATACACAGTCATACACACATAACTGAACCTCTGCCAGCTCTGAGTGCACTGCAGAGATATGAAAAAGACTGTAGTAGAGGAGAGGTTGAGAGAGCTGGGACTGTGCAGCCTGGAGAAGAAAAGTCTCAGGGTGTTCTTATCAGGGTGTATAAATATCTGACTAGAGGGTGTAAAGAAGACAGAGCCAGACTCTTCTCAGTGGTATCCAGCGACAGGCTGAGAGGCAATGGGCACAAACCGAAATACAGGAAATTCCATCTGAACATAAGAAACCACTTTTTCATGGTGAGGGTGGTCAAACACTGGAACAGGTTGCCCAGAGAGGCTGTGGAGTCTCCATCCTTGGGGATATTCCAACATGACTGGCCATAGTCCTGGGCAACCTGCTGTAGGTGACTCTGCTTTAAGTAGGGGGGATTGGACCAAAAAACTCCAGCAGACCCTTCCAACTTCAGTGACGTGGTGATTCAATTAAGCTCAAGTTGTTTAAAATATTCCAGGGGGTTAAAAATATATTAGAACCTGAAATAGCACCTGCAATGCACACGAGTGCATTCAACTCTGCTTTCCAGCTGAAAGTTCCCTCTGTTCCACAGCAGTCGCTACACATTTTTTGACCAGATTTTTGCACAGAATATTGAACTTTACATTATTTAAAGTCAGTTTTCCTACAGTTTAAAGGGGGGAAGAAAAGTTTTGCTATTCTCTCAAGTGACATTTGCAGTAAAATAACTGCAATTTTTACCCGTTTTTCGACAAGCCAAAAATCTTTTCTGTTTCCATAAATGGCCCCTTTTCAGTCCCTCTGGAGTGTCACAGGCCTGCCCTGAGTCACATCGCTCTAGCTTTGCCCATGCTCTCAGGGCAGATCGTGCTCTTACGATTGTTCTTCCTTAGTGGAGAAAACTCTTTATACAACTTATATTGCAGCTTCTGTTCCTGATAAAATTATCTTTTGCTTGGTCACAAAAGGGCACGTTAACGCATACGTGGCTTGACAGCAAGCCCTTAAATTTAGAGCGGTCACCTGGTCCAACATTTGGTTTCCCACTGATGTGATTACAATTCCTACACCACTTGCATTCCTGCCTCTCGCCACTGAGGAAGTGGAGTGCTAGGAAATGACGCCTTGTTTTACTGGAGGAACAGCCCCCTGGGCTCTTACTGGGCAGAACTGACACAGTAAGAACAAGCTCTTTGTTTTACACTACTGAAGTGAATCTGCAAACACGGAGGACAATGCCAGTAGGTAGTTGAATGAGGAAGCTCATGTTCATGCTTTTGGCATTCGGCTAAGCAAAGTAGTCTTGAGCCTGGCACTTCTGAGCTTTACTGATCCAGCAGGGCCATAAGTGGGGCTGCACGTTTTGGGTCAACTGATTGATTTACTATCCCAGCGCAACCAAGCATCAGCCAGACTAAGCGCAGCAATGTCTCATACCCCAGCCCCAGCAGGACTGTCCTTTGGTTTGGTGTGAGAGAAAAGTAGAGCCTTTATCACAATTTCATATGAACAAACTCTTATTACTACAGTGATAACCTCTAGGAGATCCTGGAAAAGCAGTCCGGACCCAATCTGGAGATGTGTTGTGCCACTACGACCTTCAAGTTTATGATCCATGACGAGGGCATATTTTGAATTTAGTTTTCAATTTTGCCTATTCTACTGGTTGTACAAACAGCTGGAGCTAAAGAACAGGCAGGAAGGGAGAGGACAACCAACCTCAGACTGCTATATTGCCCGTAATGGCTCAAAATATCCATATCTGCATGAACATGGCAATCTCTTTCTTTGTTTCTTGAGGACAATTATTATTTGAGGCACCCACAGCCTTTTTCTAGCACATAGGGGTAACTGCAACTTCTGCACATTCAACAGAGGCTCTGCGAACACCATAATGCATGCTTCACAGCTCTGACCTTGCAGTCGCCTGCCAAAAGGACAGAGACTGTCAGCACCAAGAGGCGAAAGGCAGGAGAGACATTTGATGTCACAGTGCACAGTCAACGTTTCTGGAAAATACTCCAGGTTTCAAAGCATCTTGCAAAGAATTAAAGGCTGGGCTGCATATAGCAAAGGCTTTGAGTGTTGGGAACAGGTGTGGAGCCTGCTGAAACACAGCTTAACTCCCAGCAGGGAGAAATTCATTTGCTATGTATCCCAAGTAGAACTGCTGGGAGGAAACAGTCCCCTCGTGTATGTTTGCCAGTGCAGCAGAACTGAAACGCTGACTTGCATGGCTCCCATGGAGAATGTGTCTGGAGAATTAGCAGTATCCACGCTGGTAAGACATTTCGTACAGTTCCCCAGCCTGATGAACATGTCGTACGGGTTTAGTGCAAATGCATCCGTCAGCACTGCTTCCAGGGCCACTGCGCCCACTGCCTCTCCCCCGTCTCTACATCCCAGGCCTATTCTTCCCTATCTTGCAAATAAGTGGTGGAAAAAATGAAGACCTTCTTTGCTGCAAACGGCAAGAGCGTTTTGTGCTGCCCAAATGAGAGAGTAGGGAATTTTGCCTGAGCATATTTGTTGTTATTTACCCAATGTATGACATAGGTCCCCCTAACAAACACTTGCACTACAGAAGAATAAAATGATGATCCTTCAACACAGCTGCAATATCGCACCTAAATATTAACTCTTCACATATCTGGACATTCAGGAAAGAGTTAGCCCCAAATTCTCCATAACACTGCTCCATCGAATTTATGCTTAATGCCACCCTGAGGTTGCAAATTTGATCTCTTATTATTTGTTATTAAGCCTACCACTCCACTTTTCATTCAGTCAACTAAAGACACATTGCAACAAAATCACAGAATCACAGAATGGTTGAGGTTGGAAGGGACCTCTGGAGATCACCTAGACCAACCCCTCTGCCCAAACAGGGTCATCTAGAGCACATTGCACAGGACAGCGTGCAGGTGGGTTTTGAATATCTCCAGCGAAGGAGACTCCACCACCTCTCTGCGCAACCTGTGCCAGTACTCTGTCACCCTCACAGGCAAGAAGTTTCTCCTCAGGTTCAGACGGACCTTCCTGTGGTTCAGTTTCTGCCCGTTGCCTCTTGTCCTGTCACTGGGCACCACGGAGAAGAGTCTGGCCCCATCCTCTCGACACCCTCCCTTCAGATACTTGGACACACGGAGGAGATCGCTTCTCAGTCTTCTCTTCTCCAGGCTGAACAGGCCCAGCTCTCGCAGCCTTTCCTCCTAGGAGACATGCTCCAGATCCCTCATCGTCTTTGTAGCCCTCCACTGGACTCTCTCCAGTAGTGCCGTGTCTCTCTTGCAATGGGGAGCCCAGAACTGGACACAGGACTCCAGGGGAGGCCTCCCCAGGGCTGAGGAGAGGGGCAGCATCACCTCCCTCCACATTCAGCCAACACTCTGCCTAATGCACCCTGGGATCCCATTGGCCTTCTTGGCCACAAGAGCACATTGCTGGCTCATGGTCAACTTGTTGTCCATCGGCACTCCCAGGCCCTTCTCTGCAGAGCTGCTTTCCAGCAGGTCAGCCCCCAGAAATGTATCCCTAATACACAGAAGCTGCACAGGACTGACACTATTACAACTTCAAGGTGAAAAATCTTAAAAAAATTAAGATTGACATCAACTATAAAGACACTGGGCTATTAGGTTTCATTGTGAGAACTGTTCTGCAGACACATTAACCCAAAATCTTGCCCTTGATATGTTAGATAAATTCGCAAGTTGGTACGCCTGAAGACAAAGAAGTTTGAGGAGAAAAATGGATTCAGATGGGAGATGAATTTGCACTGCAGATCATCTATTAGGGATGACTGTTCCTGCTGTGAGTACACGTGGGATGAAAGGAAAACAAAATAAAAAAGATAAAGTTTTTGAGTATGAGAAGGATGAAATAGTTTCCTTCTAAAGGGACCAAAAACACCGAAAAATCCAAGGCTCAATAAAAGAATTGATAACGCAGAACAAGCAAAAATGAAGAACATTTCTTAGAAGACATGGAAAATACTCTTTTCACTGTGTTCTGCAAAGTCCTGGAGTACTCCCTGGAGTACTGTGTCTGTTCTGGAGCATTAAAAGTCAAGACCAGCTGCAGAGACCTCTGCTCAGAGAGAAACTTCAAAAACCTCCAAAAGATGGCCCATGCAGGACCACCGGGTCCGGTCCATACAACCAACTAGGCACGGGGACATGGTTA